GGTAACAACCAAGAATACGAACCAAGAGTTGGGATAACAAACCCCGGATACCAACAAAGAGTTGGGATGACAAACAGAGGATACCAACCAAGAGTTGTAACAACAAATAGAAGGGTACCAACCAAGAGTTGGAATAAAAAGCCTCAGATACCAACCAATAGTTGGAATAAAAGTCAAAGGATACCAACCAAGAGTCGGGATACAACCAAAAAGGTACCAACCAAAAGTTGGAATAAATCCCCAAAAGATACCAACCAAGAGTTGGGATAAAGCAAGGTACGTCAACCAAAAGTTGAAATAACGACCAAAGGATACCAACCAACGGATACCAACCAAAAGTTGGAATAACTCCCCAACAGATACCAACCAAGAGTTGGACTGACGACTCCGCCTGGGAACAAAAGAGAAAATTAACCAAGCAGCCTTGTGGCGACTTCACTGGGGAAAGAGAAAACTAACCAGACAACTTTGCACATGATAAACATCCATCCTAAGATGCCATCCAAAAGACGGGATAATACTTACTCTCCATGGATAACAACCAAGCACTACCAACCAAGAGTTGGAATCACCGCAACACTAACCGAAATTTAAATGGCGAGGCGACTTCGCTGGGGAGGTATACTGACCAAAAGTCAGAATCATCAACCAGGAAACCAAGGTTACCAACCAAGAGTCGGAATAACGTCAACAAGACAACCAAACCAGATATTACGACCTTACTGGGGAATCAAAGACTACCAACCAAAAGTAGGGATAACGTCAACCAAACCTTACAAGCCAAAAGTTGGGATAACAACTCCGCTGAGGAATAGAGGAGGACTACCAACCAAAAGTTGGAACAACAACCAATCAAGCAACAGACTACCAACCAAAAGTTGGAATAACATCCAATCAAGCGACAAATTACCAACCAAAAGTTGGAATAACATCTAATCAAGCGACAGATTACCAACCAAAAGTTGGAATAACAACTGCAGGAGATAACATCCAACCAAAAGTTGGGAAACAAAGCTACTAACCAAAAGTTAGGATCACCAGGACAAATTATCATTGACCAAAAGTCTAAACAAGAGCTACTAACCAAGAGTTAGGATTGCCAGGAAAACTCCTCATCGCCCAAAAGTCAGAACAAGAGCTACTAACCAAGAGTTAGGATTGTCAACCCCGCTAAATGAAAACGAGCTGACCACAACAAAGGTTACCAACCAAAAGTTAGAATCCCCGACTTTGCTGAGGAAAATAAGGATTAACCACCAAAAGTTGGAATAACATCCAAACGCCAATGGGTCACCAACCAAGAGTTGGAATAAAACAAAGATTACCAACCAAGAGTTGAGATTAGGACTCTGTAGAGGGAATCGAAGATTACCAACCAAAAGTGGGAATAACATATTCCAGAAATTACCAACCAAAAGTTGGAATAACACCCCCAGAATAGGCATGCAACGGAACTAATCCGACTAACCAATTTGCAACGAAAACCCCAATGAGAAGGGAGAGGTTTAAACAAACGACTATGTCAAGGGACATCAGTCCACCAAACCACACTGTTGGGGAAAAGAGACATCTAAACAACAGGCTCGACCAGGGAAGAAGGCACTTACAAGCGACTCACCTGGGGAGAATGACGATGTTTAACAAAACAACTCAACTGGAAAGAATCCGATAAAATGACCAACCCAAAGATCCACACCAACAGGGATAACACGAAACTCTCCTGAATCAACCAATCTCTGGCATCGAACCTGGCTTGTGCTTCAGATGCATATGTTTGAAAATGGCGCAATGCTCCATATAAAATGGAAATGCTACGCATTTGGGAGGATGCTATGCAAAAATGCAAATGCAAAGGGACCACCCCAGCAACATAAATGCTGGAGAGAAGCGACCAATTCTGCCGGGGAGAAATAGGACGTGCCAGGTACAAACAGACTCACGTTGGGGAACAAACAAGCCCTGGATGACCTCCTTGTAAAGCACCTATCAGATACAACCGTTCTAAAGAGAATAAAAATACACTCCATTGGGAATCAAAACTCTGCTGAGGAAAAATCCCTAGATGGCTTCCCAGAAAACAACTCTTATGGGGATCAAATTCCTAGGTTGGGGAAATGCCCGGAACAACCTTCTAACACTTTGGGGAATAAACACACTCAATCGGGGAGAACCGTTCAGAATACGACCCTACCGGGAAGTAAAGGAAACTATTGGGAAATAGCTCCATTCTGCTTGGAAAGCCACCCTGCTGGAGAATATCAAATACTTCTACTGAGCTCCACTCTACCGAGAAATGGATCACGCTTCGCCTAAACATCTGTCACGTTGAGGGAATCAACACTGAACTTTGCTCGAGGAAGAAACCCTGAATACCGATACTACCGGGAAAATACCAGAAAGTCGAATCCGTTGGGGAGAAGGCGTTGAAAAAGTTGCCTCCGCTGGAGAATAACACGCTGAGAAGAAACCCACTCTGCCGGGGGTTAGCCTTTGCAGGGAGACGAAACCCTATTCTGCTGGAGATTCACCACACACCTCCGCTAGCGATACCTGACCTGATAGTGAGACTTTGTGGGTAAGACAAAATCTCTGCTAGGGGAGAAATGAATCTGTATTATAATTTCAATGTCGTGGAGGAACACATCTGCTGGGAAGAGCTGCCATCCTGCAATAAAACAAAAGAAATGCACACATGCGAAATGGTTACCTCAGTTACCATTCATGACACTTACCACGAGAGCAAAGTCAGTTGCTTTTGTTACGCTCTGTAAAGCCTCTTGTTTTCACCTGCAATGTTTATCAAAATATCAGACGTTTTTGCAAACAAAACAGTAAAAGTAAAACAAGACAGGGAAAACTCTTTGACTGAAGTGAATACTTTATTGATAAAAGATCTGTAAATAGGCGAATTACAATTCGGATGCAATTCGTGAAAAGAGGCAATTATGCAAAAGCAAAAGAAAATATAAAAATATTGGTAACGTGGAAACAGACAATCACCATGTGTCGATTCGGCTATGACCTGTATGTCTTCGATGTGCCCCGTGTTTTGCCTTCTAAAAATACTAACTAGACTGATTCCTTTCCTTCGGGATAACTGCTCGTAAGTTCATAGATCGAACGCAGACTACAGTCGTTTGCTTTTAAATCCCTAACTTTTTCCTGGATCGCCCTTTCGGGTTTTCAATCCACCTGGATACCCATTTTTGCCAAAGTTGCCTCTTCAGGTTTTCAACTTTGCGGGTTTACATCTTTCCTTTTTGTCCCTAATTTTTGCTTGAACCTTCACTTTTTATGGTTCACCGGGATGCCCCATTTTTGCATGGACTTTTCTTTTTCTGTCCAGCGGGTCTCTTTAAGCAAAGTATTTTTTAACCACGTCTGCGTTCACAGGGGACGAAAAATCTTCACCATCCATGGTAGATAGTAATAAGGCTCCTCCAGAGAAAATCTTTCTTACCATATACGGACCTTCATAGTTAGGAGTCCATTTTGCCCTATGATCTGTCTGAGGAGTAAGGATCCTTTTCAACACCAAATTGCCTGTTTGGAAGCACCGAGGACGCACTTTTTGATCAAAGGCTTTCTTCATCCTACTCGGGTACACCCGGCCATGAGCAATAGCCGCCAATCTCTTCTCGTCAATCAAAGGTCAGCTGATTCAACCTGGTTTGCACCCACTCAGCTTCGTCAAGCTTTACATCCGATAATACCCTTAAAGAAGGAATCTCCACTTCCAACGGCAGGACTGCTTCCGTACCATACACCAGTGAGAAAGGAGTTGCCCCTGTTAATGTACGCACCGAAGTACGATAACCGTGAAGAGAAAAGGGAAGCTTCTCGTGCCAGTCCTTATAGGTTACTACCATCTTCTGCATAATCTTCTTGATATTCTTGTTAGCTGCCTCAACAACACCATTCATCTTCGGACGATATGGAGAAGAATTGTGATGCTCAATCTTGAAACTCTAACACAGTTCCTTCATCCTTTTTTTATTCAAATTTGAACCATTATCAGTAATGATTCTCTCAGGAATTCCATAACGACAAATGATGTCCTTCTTTATGAATCGGGTGACCACCTGTTTCGTGACATTGGCGTAGGACGCTGCTTCTACCCACTTCGTAAAGTAATCAATCGCAACCAGAATGAAGCGATGTCCATTAGAAGCAGTCGACTCAATCTTTCCGATCATATCGATTCCCCACATAGAAAAAGGCCAAGGAGATGTTAACACATTCAGAGGAGCCGGTGGCACATGCACCTTACCTGCATAAATCTGGCATTTATGGCATTTTCTGGCGTATTTGAAGCAATCGGATTCCATAGTCATCCAATAATACCCAGCTCTCAACAATTTTCTAGCCATTGCATGTCCATTGGCATGAGTACCGAAAGAACCCTCGTGGACTTCCTCCATCAACAGGCTTGCTTCAAGTTCATCAACACAATGTAGCAAGACCATGTCGAATTTTCTCCTGTAGAGCACATCGTCTTTGTTCAGATAAAAGTTACCGACTAACCTCCTCAAGGTCTTCTTTGCTGGATGCCCCAGATGGGTATTCCTGATCTTGAGAAAATGCTTGATATTAAAATACCAAGGCTTTCCATCTGATGATTTCTCAATTGCAAACATAAAAGTAGGTCTATCAAGACGCATAATGGTGATGGCTGGAGCTTCATTCCAGAAATTCACTTTGTACATCGAAGATAGCGTGGCCAAGGCATCTGCCATCTAATTCTCGACTCTTGGCACATGATGGAACTCGATTCTATCAAAGAACGACAACAACCTTCTTGCATAATCCCTGTAAGGCACCAAGTTGGCCTGACGAGTTTCCCACTCTCCTTTGATTTGGTTAACGACTAACGCTGAGTTACCGTACATATCCAGATTCTTGATCCTCATATCGATGGCCTCTTCTAAACCCATAATGCACGCTTCGTACTCAACTTCATTATTGGTGCAGGCGAAAGTCAATCGGGCAGTGAACGGTATATGAGAACCGTGAGGAGTAATAATAATAGCCCCGATTTTGCTATTCTTGTTGAGGGTGTATCTGCTTTGGTGAGTAATGTTATTGATACGGGATGTTACAGAGGTTTTATGGTAAAGGATGAGGTGTCGGTGGAGATTATCCAATTTGCCGACGATACGCTTTTAATTGGAAGAGGTGGATGGCATAATTTATGGACTATCAAAGAAATTCTTCGGGGTTTTGAACTTGTTTCAGGATTATGCGTGAACTTCAACAAGACTCATTTGATTGGTTTAAATGTTAGTTCTCATTTCTTGTTTTTCCTTCTTAGGAATTCAAATTGGCTCGATCCCGAAACTTGGTCATATTTGATTGATGATTTTGAGAAAAATTTTGGTTTGTGGAAAGGTAGATACTTGTGGTTCGCAGGTAAAGTTTGTTTGATCAATTCTATCTTGAGCAGCCTCCCTGTATTCTTGTTTTTCGTTCTACAAAGAGCCAATTCAGGTTTGAAACCAGATTGATAAGATTAAACAACGTTTTCTCTAAGGTGGATCGGTTGAGAAATCTAAAATTCACTGGGTCAAGTGGGATTCGGTTTGTAGACCTAAGGAGCAAAGAGACCTTGGTATTAAATGGATTGAAGTCTTCAATTTGGAACATTTATCTAAATGGAAGTGGAGAATTCTTTGAGAGAATGACGCTTTGTAGAAAAAGGTGTTGAAGGCTAGATACACCGGGATAGAAACCCAATTGTTGTTGGAGAAGGACTATTATATGAGCTTTTCAGCTTCTAATTGGTGGAAAGATTTATGTAAGGTAGGTGTCCTGACTGTTTCCAAAGGTATGAGTATCGCAGATTTGATCAAATTTAATATAAGTGATGGCTTGATGGTTCCGTTTTGGACAGCTTCTTGGTGTGTTCAACCTTGTCTTGATGTCTCTTTTCCATTTCTATTTCAGGCTTGTAGTAGTAAGGATGTTTTACTGGTGAATATGGGTTGTTGGTCGGATGAAGGATGGTTATGGGGGACTTAGGAATCGCAAGCGAACAACAGCTTGAAGCTGAAACTGAGGTCTACAACTTACAGTTATTGATGAATAATTTTTGTCCAGATCAAATCAAGAAGGATGAGTTGGGGTGGATTGTTGGGACGTCCATTTCTTATACGGTTAGGGAGGGTTACTTGCAGATGTGAGGTACGTCTCCTACCTATATGGTCGGAAACTGAAACTTCAATTCGTTGTCTTCACTTGTGTGGCTGCTTGACAAAATGTTAACGGATTACATTGTGCCCTTCAACGCTTGAATGATGTTAACGGTATAAGTTGGAATTTGTCACCCTCCATTTTATACCTGACGTCTTCTAAATTTTTAATATTGCTGAAACTATTTTTATTAATGTTTATCTATCAATTTTACTATATATTTTTTTATAATTTTCACTTTTTTCAACTTTTAAAAACAAATTTTTTTATAGTTATTTTAAAATTTCTAGTACGTATTTTTCCACATTTTTGAAGTTTCACATGCATATATAAAAAATTTCAAAAAATCTGATACAAACTTTTGTTCCAATACCAAAAATTGTTAAATTTTCGATAAGTTACAAAATCTTTCGAAAATTTGCAAATTTCTAATATATCAGAACTTTTGTCTTTATTTGAAATTTCTGATAACATATTTTCTACCCCTTATATAATATCGATGTATATTTTTGTGTGTGATGTAAATGATAACAATAAAGTTTTGACTTATTAACAAGCAACGTGATAATAAAGTTTTGACTGTTGGTTCTAATACTAATAAATTGTGGCTTTCAACGCTATGTTAACCGTATAAATTGTGGCCTCTAACATTTGAAAGACTTTGTATGCAGTTTAAATTGTGGACAACGCTCGAAAGACATTGCAAACTAAATATAATTCAATGCATCTAACACTCGGAAGACTTGGCAACCTAATGCAAATTTAATGCAAATTTAATGCCTCTCTAACGCTCGAAAGACTTAGCAAGACATAATGTTTAATTCAATGCCTCTAACGTTCAAAAGACTTTGCAAGTTAAATGCTAATTTGAAAAATATATTATGAACAAAAGAATATATTATGAACAAAGGGATTAAGGGAATCGTAACTCATATACAATCACTAATATATGTTATAATCTTAGACCGTCTTTATTTAAGACTCAACAAATATACCAACTAAAAATTAGAGAAAAACCTGAGGGAAGTTGCACCACTCATAGTATGAGCAAATCCCATGGTTGGTTTTTGACTTTCCAAGCCACCATCAAACATTAAGCACACTCCTTTGAGCCATAACTTCATTGTCACAAACTTTATTATTGAATAGAATTTAATTCCGCTCATATCAAATGCTCCAACATACCGTGCACCAAATGCCAGCCACATTAATAATAGAAATGTTCATATCAAATGCTCCAACATACCGTGCACCAAATGCCAGCCACATTAATAATAGAAATGTACGATACCATCAATTGAATCAAGGATTGCAAATGATCACAACAAGAAGAGAAGGTTATCCCTTCAACACCCAACCAACGGAAAATGACTCCCCAAACCAATTTGAATTTAGTACACTCAAAAAACATATGTTCTGCATCTTCTTCAACTAAAAAACAAAATACACACACTCTTTCATGTGGGTTAGAAATAATACCTCGTTTCGCCAAGATGTTTGGCATAGGTAATCTATCTAACATCATTAGCCAAACAAACACTTCAATTTTTAATGGGATTGTGGTATTCCAATTGAGTTTCAAAGCACACACCAGCTCTTCATTCCTCAACACATTCCTTGTTCATCTAACAGTTTGGAATGATATGATTTAACCATGAAAAGCTTTGTAGATGAATATGGCCATACCACAGTATCATTACCTGTTATCTCCGGCCCAACCCCACTGTTAATATATAAAATTAAAGTATTGTATTTCGACTGTCAACCGAATTATATGCAGCAGATTGATGGATGTCGAAGGAATTCGAGTTGGTGCTATAGATAGTAGGGTGTTTTCGAAGGTTTTACTTTCAAACAAGAAGTGACATGTTATAAGACATTTAAAAAGGGATTCAAAAAAGACAGTCGAAGAAGTCATTTAAAGAGTTGATTTTTGATGTATTGCGCCGATCAAGCAAACAACTCCTACAAGAGTGTTATCGGAAGTTATTAAAAGTAGTTATCCAAAAGGACATGTGTCAATATTAGATTAAGGAAGTTATTAAATAAGACACTTGTTAAAATCTTAAATATAGGAAGTTATTTTCTTTTCTCTATAAATAGTTGTAATTACTATATTTTAGAGGTTGGATTCTTTTTTTTTTAAAGTCTTGTAACACCCACGCTGTAACGCTCCGTTTTATTTAATATTATATTATACTAGCGTCCAAACGGGCACGTCCGTGCCCATTTGTCCGCTTTTTTTATTGCGCTAACGCGCAAAAATATTAACAGTGTATTTTTTTTATAAATTTAATTTTACTATAAACTATTTATATTAATTTTAATATAAATTATTTATATGATGAAACATTAAGTTTTGTATATATATATATATATATATATATATATATTGCTATAAATTAGTCAAAACCATAAGAAGATTTAGATAGAAGAAGAACAAAAATCTTTCTCACAATTTATTAAGTAACTAAACATAAACATTAATACGGATATTAAGTTACATTATTGCTTAATAGGAAAGTCAACCATGAAATCAAAATTAGAAATATCTCTCGTTTCACTGCAAAACAAATGAAGTAATTCATTAATATATTTTTTATTTGATTTTGGTTTTAATATATATATATATATATATATATATATATATATATATATATATATATATATATATATATATATATATATATATATATATATATATATATATATATATATATATATATATATATATATATATATATATATATATATATATATATATATATATATATATATATATATATATATATATATATATATATATATATATATATATATATATATATATTAATTTAATTTTTTATTAAGTATATGGTCAATGAAATGCTTCCAAAGATTGTTGCAACAAAACTCTTTCATTTATTGAAGCAATACTTTAAGAAATGTTTTAACATTTGATTCTCATTTCCCTGCATTATCTTGGAGGTGTGTGTAATCTTTAATATTTATTGTTCGTTTTCTATTATATTATTAGTATTGTATTAAATAGAGATGAACCAATTCATAAATAAACAATTCATATATTTTTTATCTTTAAGACCAATAGGTTTAAAAAGAAAGACACTTAAAAATAATGTTTCATTGTTTTTAATAATATTCTCTAACCAAGTCAATATAATTTGATATTTAGTTGCAACAACCAAATGAAAAATTAACAAAATAGATTCTAAAATAAAGGCAAATTATCTCTTAAAGAAATAATCATAACATTGTAAAGGAAAAGAAACTTCATATCAATTAACAATGAAGTATGATAAAGAATTAGAGAAGGAATTAGAGACTGGTGATCAAATAAGAGATGAAGATGAAGAATTTTTTTCTCTATTTATCTTTCACAAACCATAAATAGTGGAGTATGATGATGTATTTTTTTTTTATGTTGCCACTGAATGAATGAATTTCCATTTTCTATTCATTTATAATTGTATTTTGCACTTCCATCATTTTTGTAAGAGATGCATAACTATCAAAATTGGTTTTTTTTTCATTAAAAAAACCAACTTTGATAGTTATGCTCATCTTATAAAAAAATCCGTATCATTTTGTTAGCACTTTATTTTTTAAAATTAAATAAATTGCGTACAACTTAAATGATAAAATGGGAATGAAATAGGTCTGTCCAAAATCACCTATCTTCTTTATCTTTATCTATAGTTATAAAATAGATAATAGTTATAGAATAAATAATAGTTATAGAATATATTAAGTAGAGTTTAGAGAAATTATAATAAATATTATAAAAAAAAAATTTTTTTATGAGAATAAAAAGAAATCATAAATAAAAGTTAGGGAGATAAATACAAATAAAACCTACAAATAAATTAATCTCACATAAAGTGAAATAAACAAAATTTTGGGAGATTAAAAGTTTCATGTTCTTGTTAGACAAAAAAAACATATAAATTATTTTTCAAAAACTAAGTAAAATAGACAATATATAAAGAGAAAAATATATAATAAACAAAATTTAAGAAATGTGAATAAATTAGAATATATGTACAATTCCATAGAAGTATCTTATGTACACTCATTTCAATAGTTGCATGGAAAATATATATTTGTGTAAAAAAGAACATTTGAAATTCCTTCAAGTTTTGCCGCATATATGTAGCATTCTGTCTCTTTTGAAATTAATAGTTTATTCAATTTTCTTTAAAAACATAACATAAATATTAAAAAAAATATAAATAAAAATGAGAGAGATAAGTTTTTTCTTTAGTTTTAAACGAAGAATTTAAGAGAGAAAAGAAGAGAGATAATCAATCAACATTGCAAAACCAAATACATAAGACATTTTTCAGTATTACGTATCTACTTCGGTGAAGTGTTCGCAAATATTAATAAATTAATTAGAATTGTGATATAATAAATAGAATTTATATAATAATTAACAACTTTAATAATAATTTTACATAGAGTTGGTTCAAAAGTACAAAAAACTA